GGCTCAGTGTGTGACCAGGACCTGGGCTGAGTAGATAACCAGGGCCAGAGTTCAGTGTGTGACTAGGATCCAGGCTCAGTGTATGATCTAGGATCAGCATTCAATCTTGGTTGAAGTAGGGCTGAGACCAGGGTAAGACTGGAAGACAACAAAAAAAGTGTTCATTGCCACAGAAAAGCGAAGACTTAACACTTAGGAATCTGTAAGTAGATGAGGGCTTATCACTCTCCCTGGACTGACTTACAAAGGTTTCTTGGGGTGGGCATGGAGATGGCGCTGCTAGCCTCTGTAAGAGAAAAGGCAGGCATCCCCAAGGAGGAGCTCCCCTGGAGGGTCCATGGTCCTGCTGCCCTCAGAAGGAGAGGTGGCTGGAGAGCAGTCTCACTGACACACTACCAGGACAAGTAATGCTGCCCCCATGTGTGGTCCCACTCTGAGCCTGCGCTCCTCTGCGCTGGGTGTCCCGGAGTCTCATTAGTCAGCATGTGGCCCAGCTCACACCCGAAGGTCAGCATCTGACATCTGGAGACTTTGATCCACAGGCTGAGGGACAGCCTGGCTCCACCCTCCCTCTTTGTCTGGCCTCACACTGTCCCTCATCAACCAGGAGCAGATACCCTGGGTATCACGAGAGGAGATGGGAGGAGAGGGATCTGGGACCCCAGGGAAGCAGCCAGGGCTCCTGAGGGAGGCCGAGAGGGACGCACAGCCCAGCAGAGAAAGGAGCGTGTCATAAATATCATTATTGCTCCTTTCTCTATTATTATGTGCTCATGTACAAAAAAATATTTTTTTGCAAGAAAAATCAACAGGTACAAAATGGCATCCCACCCCCATACAGTACAGGGTAATAGATATGCAGATACGTAGTTATATTTATAACAATATGTAAAACAGGAGAGAAATGACATCAGACTCCTTTGAGCCAGACCGAGCAGGATGACAGGAACCAGCCCCTTGGAGTCCACACCCCCGAGAAGGTAGAGTGTGGCCCATGACTCACTCCCGGCCAGGCTTTTGAGGGTCCTTCTCACACCCGCCAAGCCACCCCTCGGCCTGCAGCCTGCTTCCTGGCCCTCACCCAGCCGTCCCAATGCTGGGTGGCCAGTCAGGAGCCATGGGGTCTCACCCTCATGCTGTCCTCTGGCAGCGCTGTCCCTGAGAGGGTTGGCACCAGGTCCCCACTCCTCAAGGTTCCTGGAGCCCCACCACCCACATAGCCCCTGGAGGTGATGGTCACCCACTGTGTCCAGCCCGGCCACCTGTCCATCCTACCCTTAGATCTCTTCTTCCACTTTCAGGATCATGCCTGAGAAGACCTCAGGGGCACCCTGGGGGCTGGCCTGGGAGCCTCTGGCCACTGCACTTTCAGAGGTGGAGAGTGAGACCCCTTGGCCAGGGTGAGCCACCTCCACCAGCCTCTCCAGGGTATGGCTGAGGGCCTCAATGCCATCGGCCAGCCGCTGCAGCAGCAGGTTCTGCTGGGTCATAAGGGCGCCCTGCTGCTGGTACCAAGAGGACAGCAAGGCGCCCTGTCGCTCGTGTGAGTCCAGCAACCGCTGCTCAAACACTGACACCTCAGCCCCTACCGTGGGCTTCCCAGAGGGTGTGGGGGCTGAGGCGGGCGGGGAGGCCCGGGAGAGCCCCCCGAAGGCAGCAACTGGGGGCACCGAGGGAGGGGAGGCAGGAGGGGAAGGGGGAGATGTGGGTGCATGGAAGACTCCTCGCAGGTCCGGGGGGTTGGGCTCGGGCAGGCTGGGCCCGTCCACGTTGCGCATGGGGGTCCACAGGCAGCTGGGCACCTCATCTTCCTCGTCGGCTAGCAGGGGAGACAGGAAGCCGTCACCTCCACTGGCCATGGGCAACTGATGTCCAGGGAAGGGTAGAGGAGGATTGTAGATAACAGGTGGGAGGGCCCTGCACATCTATTTGAGTCTCACAATACCCCTCCATGGTGGGCAAGGTGTCCGATTTGAGGAGGAAGATGTTAATGTGGTCAGAGCCAGGGTCCAAATCTTGACCTGTCTAAATCCAACGCCCGAGCTCCAAACTGTCAGGCTGGTCTCTGTCTAGCCACCCACTCAGCCTCTACATGTCCATCATCCACAGAGCTGTTCACTTCTCTATATCCCCAGCCTGTCTGCCCATCTGCAAGCTGTATCTACCCACCTTCCTCATCTATCTGTCCACCATTATTCCTCCACCATTCTTCCATCCACCCACCCACCCTCCATCCATCCACGTACACCCTTCATCCATCCACTCATCATCCACCCACCCACCCTCCATTCATCCATGTACACTATCCATTCATCCACCATCCACCTACCCACCTGCCATCCATCCACGTACACCCTTCATCCATCATGTACCCACCCATCCTCCATCCATCCACATATACCATCCATGCACTCATTATCCACCCACCCTCCATCCATCCATGTACACCATCCATTCATCCATCATCCACCCACCCACCCTCCATCCATCCATGTACACCCTTCATCCATCATCCACCCACCCATCCTCCATCCATCCACATACACCCTCCATTCACTCATCATCTATCCTCCATCCATCCACGTACACCATCCATCCACTATCCCTCACTACCTCCATCATTGATGCATCCATCCGTTATCCATCCTTATGTTCCATCCATCCACTTGTTCAATCTGATTATCCCAACTCACCCATCCACCCACCCATCTAGAATTTGTCCTTCCAGCCATCCTTCCAGTAGGTCTATCCATGCACCCATCCATCTATCTGTCCATCCCAGGCACATCTGTACCCAGATGGCTGTCCATAAAGGATGAGACAGTGAACAAGAGAGCAGAATTTCTGGGGACTAGAATCCTGTAGACTTGGGCTTCAAACCCACCTGACAGCCCTGTGACTTCAGGAAGGGCCTTCCCCTCTTTTGCTTTCGATTCTTAATGGCTTTTAGGATCTCTAGACTTAAGAAAAAGTCAGCAAAGGTCCAGGAGAGCTGGCTACTGAGAAGGGGTGTGTGGATGCCCCCTGGCATGGGTGGGAGCAGGGGACATGGACACGTGGCAGTGACCTGCATTTCTGAACTCCACCCACCTCTCCCCTAGAGCGGGCCAGTTCCTGCTACGTGCTGACAGCCTTGCCACTGTCCCAGAGTCGGCCGTGGAGTCTGTACCTGGTGAGGTGCCCACAGGCACAGAGGCTGGTCCAGCTGCCGCAGTCCCCTTTCCTTCACCTCCACCTCCTCCTTCCTGTCCTCCTCCTTCTCCTCTTCACATGTTTCCTGCATTTCTGGGCACTGGCCCATCCTTCCATCCAGCCAACCCAGGTGTTCAGGTGGGGAGTCATCCTGTGCTCAGCTCTCTTGCTGACCCCTTGAGACGCTGGCTTCAACGATGAGGGAGAGCCCAGAGGAGTTCCTGTCGGGTGAGGCTTGGCCTGCACCTCCTGCGAGCTGCCTCAGTGGGCAGTGGCATATCCCTCCATGCAGCCCAGGGTGACCCAGGCAGGACCAGTGGAGCGCGGTCACCAGTGGGTGGAGAGGTCCGTGTGCGGAAGGTGGTGAGGCTGTGGATGGGGCTGGAGGAGGCTGAGGCAGAATCAGGAGCCTAGCCATCCTACAGGTGAGGCCTTGAGCCTGTAACATCACAGTCTCCTCCCAGGTCACGCTTCTCCAAGGGCCTCGGTCGCCCGACATCTGGTCCCAGGAGCCATTGGGCCATTGACAGACGAAACGGGGAGCCTTGTGAGGGACCAGCTTCCACCCTCACCCCAGGTTCACCGTGGGAGCTGGCTGACCATACAACCACAGTGACCTTGCCAAGCCCACAACGCCAAGCCCTGGGGCCTAGCCCACCCACAGCCTGACATCCCATCTCTCCAGCACTTATACCTCCGCTCTGCCTGTGCAAGCCCCCACCCTCACCATGCACACTCTTCCCTCAGCCTCCACACACTGTCCCGCTGCCTGGACAGTCCAGCCTGACCTTGAGGATAGAGCAGGGACATACCTGAGGTTCGCCCTGGCCCCACTGGACTGGATGCCTCTCACTGCCCTTCCCTTACCCCAAGATGCACTCAGGGGAGAGCTGTGTGTGGTCATCTCCCTACCAGGGTGGGCTAGGAGCACAAGGCCACAGGAGTGAGCCGGTGAGCGAGGGCATCTCTGAGGGCCCACACAGTCTGTCTACAGCATCTTAGTCAGTCAGTTACCATCAAGTTGAGCCGGACTCACGTCCCCTGGCGTGTGTCAGAGTAAAGCTGTGCTCCACGGGTTTTCAGTGACCGACTCTGTAGATTCCCATACCGTTTTCCCAAGACCCTTGGGTGGACTCACAGGGTTACGGGTTTTGGCCACACGGGGTGGGCTTCTCCTCAAACAAATAAAACTGAAAAGCTCAAACCCACTGCTGTCGGATTGGCCCTGTGAAGTTCCTGAGACATGTGTACGTGTCATCCTCCCTTGGGTCAGCCGGTGGGTATGAACCACTGACCTTGCAGTGAGCAGTCAAATGCTTAGCTCACTCACTCTACCACTGGGGTTCCTATCAGCAACTTTAGGCCTGAGCTTCGAGCTCTGTCCCCAAAGACCATCATACCTGCCCCAGGCAGCTGCAGGAGGAAGGTCCCCTCCCCACCCTCAGGCCGAGCCCCCAAGGCTGGATGACACACCAGGGAGCCCAGCAAAAACAGAGACAAAGGGGACAGGCGCCCAGGGCTTTCAGCAGGAGCAGCTCCAGACAGCTGGTCACCCTGCAGTGAGTTCTGGGGGGACCCAGGACCTCAGGACTCGGGTACCATGTCCACCCACGCTCCAGGACGAAGCTGGTACAGACATCATGGGTACCACCAAGCACTCACCCCAACCCTACACCATGGCTGCGCCCACCAGGGCTGGGGGTAGCCTGGCCCCTCAGAGAAAATCTGGCAGGGCTGGGCCTCCAGGATGAACAGGCAGTCGGCCCCTTGGCGTTGGAGCAGAACGCTCCCGCCTCACACCAACTTACTTGGTGCCGGCTGGCTCCGGCCAGGAGCTCCCGGGCCAACTCTGCATGCGAGGAAGCGGCCTCGATGCTGGCTTCAATACTGTCTGCAAATCAAGACAACAGAAGGCGATTACCATGGAGACCCAGCCTCCTGGCCCAGGGACCCTCACGGGAACCCTGGGGGCCCAGTGGAGGAGCTGCTGGGGGTGGCCTGGAGATGGGTTGGCCCTAGTCTTGCTCAGCTTCCTCAGGAGGCCGGCGGGATGTGGTTGAGGCCGCAGGGGTCCCGAGAGGTTGGTCTGCCTGGCTCCACACAGCAGCCAGAGCTGTCAGCGCCCCAGCCCAGGCCTGGACCATCCTGAAGGGTTGGAACCCCTTGGGGCCCAGCCTGCAGACAGTTTCTTGGACGCAGTCGGGTCTGCGGGGGCCCTGAGGACAGCATGTGTTGACCTGGCGGCGGGTCCGGGGACTGAGTGGAAACTCAGAGGCAAGTGAGAGACGGCTGGCAACTAGGGCTTCAGGTCATACTCGGGCCTGAGGCAGGGTCCGGCGACCACGGCGGTGCATACGTGGGCAAGGCGAGAAAAGGAGCCAAGCCATTGGGTCCCACAACGGGACAGAGACAACATCTGGTCCAGCTGGCCCCTTATGGGGCAAGGAGCCGGGTGGCTCCCTGTGCCTCTGTTTCCCATCTATCCAACAGGACGAAGCCAGCACATACCCCCCTAGAAGATAGGCATGCAGGTGACTGCAGTGAGAGCCCCTGACAACGCCCTGCTGCCCACACCGGCCAGCAAACACCCGCACACGTAGGCTGGTCTGTGAGAGAGCGCACCTACCAAGGAGCCATCCTGGGAGCCGCTCTGCTGGTGGGCAGGACCCCACCGCCACCCAAGCCTGGGGTTCTGCTGACTGGACAGTCGTGGGAGGGGTCCTGTTCAGCCCCAGGTTCTGGGACCTAGACACCTGCCACTCTTGGGGGTTATGCGATTGGTGCTTTGTCACCCCGGGCACACTTTATACAGACAGGGGCGTCGGGATAGAGCTGGGGGTCAGTTCCACCCTCCATGGCTCTGATGTGCTTATCTATGTCTTAGGGAGCCCCCGGTCAGATATGGGTGCATGGCCCCCACTAGTGTGAGCCTGTGGGCCCTCTGAGAAGTCTCCATGCCAAGATCCCTGGTCTGGACCTCACCTTGACCCCCTGTCCAGGGGCACAGATCTCCTGCTCAGAGCACACACCCCTAACCAGGGATACAGATCCTGTGCCCTAACTTACTGGTTCTGTTGGCCACAGTGCTCTTGGGGTACACAAAGCAGTCACCCTATCTCCTTGGGACTCATGAGGGCTGAGGAGACTGTGAGTGAGGGAACCCAGCCATCCTGCGCATTGCAGGCTGCAGCCGGTGGTTCACACACTGCACCCAAGGGGCTACACATGTGATTTACAACCACCAAGCTGGAGGGGGCCTGCTGGGTATGGCCCTAGGACATTCACACAACACCCACCCACATGCGGAGCAGTGGCCCACACACCCACAGCGTGCACCATGAATACGAACCAGCCCATTTGAGGTCATCTACAGGAGGCCGCCCACCGACACCCAGCCCAGACGGTGCTGACACTACTTCCACACAGAGACGGGGTCAGATGATTCCACCAAGGAAGTCCTCCTGAGAGCTAGGTCCTCAGAGCCCCTGCCCCACCTCTGCTGGGAGACCAAGGTCCCAGGCCAGTGGGTGACCTTCTCATTGGGGTGTCTGGAGGCTGCCCGACTGCTTGTGCCCACAAAGCTGTCTTGTTGTCCTGGGTCCGCCGCACAAGGTCATGCTGGGTCTTTGGAGAGTCCAGAGAGGCAGAGGGTCTTGTCCCCCAGATTCCTTCACCAGCTCCGGGTGTCCTGCGACTTGGCTGCACAGCCGGGTGAGTGACAGGTGCTGCTGGGTCTTGGCTTTGGAAGAGGACAAGGCGAGGAGGTGGCCAGAGGCAGAGTGGATTTGAGGAGTGGACGCAGCTGGGAGGCTCCTCACCAGGTACAGGACCTTCAGAGACAGAGCTGGGCCCGGGGCTGAGCCGGGGAGGGGGCACATCCTGACGGCCTGAAGGTCCGGAGGTCGGGGGACCCTGAGAAGGGCCACACGTGAAAGCAGAAGTATGGAAAGGGAGGTGCAGCCCCCTAGGTAGGCCCTCATGCCCAGCAGAGAGGGTGGGGTGGAGGCAGGTCAAGCAGGGCACTACCAACTAACCCAAATCCCTGCCTGGCTGCAACGTGTCTTGGACCTGCCTTTCCTGTACTTGGTTCTCACTATGTGGTCAGCCCAGACTGCGCTTGATGTGGGAAACCCCACCGATATGTGTGAAAGGGAACTGCAAGAGAATTAAGGGGGCATGTCTTCCAGCCCGCTGGCCTAGTGAGGGGGTGCTGCCACGGGGATCTGGCTGAGCCCTGAGCCTGGTCTACGGTAACGCTGCTGACCATGAGTCCCTCCCTGGCCTACCTCCTGGAGGGACACGTGGGGAGGGCCCACTTACTTGGCAGAGACTCGGGCCCCTGGCTCTGGCGCGGGGGGGCCAGGGCAGAGAAGGTCTCTGCCACCATGCGTTCCACTGGCGTGAGGATGAGGGTGGGGATGGGGGCCCGCGGCCGCTCGGCCAGCTTCCTGCGCACCACCCCGCGCAGGTCCCGCCACTTGTGCTTGAGGTCGCCCAGGTCACGGCGGCAGTAGCCCAGCGCATTGACGGCCTGCAGGATGCGGCTCCACACGCGGTGTTTGCGGGTGGGTGGGCCCCGCAGTGCTCCGAACAGCAGCGCGTAGTGTCGCGTCACCTTCTGCACCAACACCTCCGTCTCTTGAGGACTGAAGTTGGGCTTGCGCGTCTTGGTGCGGGAGTGGACCCCCGGCCGCAGAGGCATGGAGCCCGGCCCGTCGCCCAGCAGCAGGGCAGCCACGGCCGGCTCGGGGCTGCAACTGCGCCGGCAGGTAGCCTTACCTCCGCCACTGGACCCTGGAAAGGTACCAGAGGCTGTGTGGAGGATCACTGCAGAAACATGCCCAGGACTCAGGGGTCCAGCGCAGTGGTGTCCCAGGGTTCTCTGCCTCTCAGGAGGACCACCCCAGACACTCAGGCAGGCCTTTCTGTATAGTCCACCTTGCTGACCATCAGCTCCAGGCTGAAGTGGCTCTGAGAGCCCAACCAAGAGGGGCAGAGGACAAGAGGGAAGAGCAGGGAGACAGAGCCTGGCCTCCTGGAGGTGAGCTGTAGGCCCCAGTTGAGCAACCCGTCTGACCCCTCTTCACCCCAAGATGGACAGCGCCCCAAGGGAAATTCCTGGTCCTCAAGAGGCAGAGGCACCATCCACCTCCACGCATGAGGGCAAGTGAGGCAGCGGGCAGAGTGGAGACGTGAGGTTGGGGTGGGGCTGCTGGCTGCTGGCTGCAAGCTGGGGACTGGACCCACGTCTGGGGTACCTGGCACCACCCCCCAGGACGGCCCTTTCCTCACTGAACAGAGACAGAGCCCACAGCACCCCCCACATAAACACACACAGACACCCCAGCCTTCCTTCAGGGTGCTGGGAACATGGGTGGTATGGGCCACCTTGTGACCACATGAGTGTCACCACCAGGCCCCACTGCCCACAGGTGACTGACTCCCCAGGGCCAGGAGGGCCCCCAATTCTGGGCAGCTGGTGACCAAGGATGAGCCAGGACAAGTGGCTGTGGGCCAACTGGCCCGGATAGGTGCCCTCTGGCCTGGGTCCTTGTCTGTGGGGGGGACAGCCCCCTCCTCACTCTTGGGATTGGCATGTGGAGACCTGGCCCCTGGGAATGAAGAAGCAGTGACTTCTACCACCACCCACCCCTAGGGTCCTCCCTCCCAGCCATTGGGCTCCAACACTCAGACTTCGGACTCAGGGCCATGGCACGAGCACCGTCCACGGTTGCCCATGTCGTCCCTTTGGAACCATCATCCCTATAGTTCACCTCCTTTAAAGAAGCAAGGTTGGGGGGTCCAGTGTGGAGCTGTCTATCCTGGGGCATCTCTGGACACCCTGCCCTGGCCAGGACTGGATGCTTCCCTGCACCGGCCCCCCTCCCCCCCCACATACCTGTCTCTTCCCACACAGCCCACCCTGCCTCACCCCTCCTGGTCCACAGAGAAGTAGCTGGGCTCTGGAGCTCAGGCAGCTCCCACCCCACATCTGAGAACCTGGTCCACACACCAAAGGACCAGGGTGGGGTCTAGAGACTCCCTTGGGTAGAATGGGGGCTCCCTACTCCACCTGACCATGCTGAGGGGCTGGGGGATGGCTGGATGTTGGGGGCAGGGAGCAGAGGAGCAGACCTCTGGATCTGACTGGGCCCCTCACCTCGAGGTGGTTCCCCACAACCTACGTGAAGGGCAGTGGCTGGGGGCGGGAGCAGCTTTCAGCCAGCAGTGCAGTGGATACCTACCGATAGCTTCTCCTTGCTCAGACACCATGGAGGCCAAATCCTTGATAACCTGGTTCACATCCAGCAAGTCGCTCTGTAGAAACAAGATGGCGGTTGTTAGCCATGTGAGCAGATGGCTGGCTCGCAGGCATGGCCCATCAGAAAGTACTGATGGACTCGGAGCAGCAGGTGAAGCCCACAGAACCAAGAACTTGAGCATCTAGGGACCAGCTGCTCTGGCCACTTCCTGCCAGAGAAGGAAGGCCCAGGATCCTCCAGCAAGTCAAAGATGGTCTGGGGTCCCAACACCCCTCACACCAAAGTCACATAGAAAGCTTTCTGAGTATCCCAGGGGTTATGAACTCCTCGAATGGGTACTAGGGGTTGTAGTCTAGTGAAGGACACAAACGAGTCACTGGTGCTGTCTTGACGAGAGGAAAATGACTGTCCAGAGCAGGACACTGCTGCATCCCTTACATGGCCTTCAACCCTGCAAGCCCCTCATCCCTACACCAGAGCTTGCTTGGGGCTCTTTGACAGATTCATCCAACCTTTCCCTCATTGTAAAACTAGCATCTAGGATGGACCAGCACACAAGTGGTTGGTTATGTGGACGATTGGGTGGGTGGATGGGTGGGTGGATGGATGGATGGATGGATGGATGGATGGATGGATGGATGGACAAATGGATACGCGATTGGTTATGTGGATGGGTGGGTAGGTGAATGGTTGGTTGTGTGGCTGCTGGATGAATGGGTGGGTAGATGAATGGATACATAGGTGGATGGTCGTGAGGATGGTTGGATGAATGGATGGGTAGATGGATGGATGGGTAGATGGTTGGTCATGTGGACGGTTGGATGAATGGGTTGGTAGATGGATGGATGGAATAGGTGGTTGGTCATGTGGATGTTGGATGAATGGGTGGGTAGATGGATGGATGGGTAGGTGGTTGGTCATGTGGATGGTTGTATGAATGGGTGGGTAGATGGATAGGTGGTTGGTCATGTGGATGGTTGGATGAATGGGTAGGTGGATGGATGGATAGGTGGTTGGTCGTGTGGATGGATGGATAGGTGGTTGGTTGTGTGAATGGTTGGATGAATGGGTGGGTAGATGGATGGATGGATGGATAGGTAGGTGGTTGGTTATGTGGCCAATTGGATAGGTGGGTAGATAAATGGAGGCATAGGTGGTTAATAGTGCAGACGGTTAGATGGGAGGGTAGATGAATGGGTAGGTAGACACTTTTGTGGATGGTTGGATGGGTGGGTGGCTGGATCAGTGGATAAGTGGTTGGTTGTGTGGATGAATGGCTGGATGGGTGGATGGATAGTAGTCCCTTTGCTAGCCAAAGACTGTGTGAGCCCATGAAGCCAGTGAATGGGGTACGGAATAGAAATGGGCTAGGACTGTGGAGAACCCCCACCTCTCATGTCAGGCTGACTGACTGCATCCTTCACTCTGCTTCAGGGTTGGAGAAAGACTCATTAACAACCTGCGATGCAGGTGATACAATCTTGCTTGCTGGAAGCCAAGAGGACTTAAAATACTGATGAAGATCAAAGACCACAGCCTTCAGTATGTGTGGCACCTCAATGTAAAGAAAACAAAAATCCTCACCACTGGACCAATAAGCATCATGATAAATGGAGAAAAGATTAAAGTTGTCAAAGGCTTTGTTTTGCTTGAATACTCAGTGTTCACTCACAATTGACATTCACAGAAGAAGCAGTCAAGACAGCAAATGGCGAATTGCATTAGGCAAATCTACTTACTGCACAAGACCTCTTTCAAGTGCTCAGGAGTAGATATCAGTGTGAGGACTACAGTGCGCCTGACCCAAGCCATGATATCTTCAATAGCCTTTCATATGCAAGTTGAACAATGAATAAGGAAGACCGTAGAAGAACTGATGCATGAGCTCAGGTGTTGGGGAAGAATGTGAAAAGCACCATGCCTGAAGAGCAAGCAGATCTGTGTTGGAAGAAGTGCAGCCAGAGTGTGCGGTACAAGCAAAGATGACAAGACTTTGTCTTTCTTACTGTGGACAAATTATCAGGAGGGACCAGTCCCTGGAGAAAGCCATCATGCTTGGTACAGTGGAGGGTCAGAAAGAAAGAGGAAGACCCCCAACGAGACGGATTGGCCAGGTGGCAGCACTGATGGCGTCAAGTGTGGCAGTGGTAATGAGGTTGGCCCAGGATCGGACATTGTTTCGTTGTGCTGTGCATAAGGTTGCTGAGTCGGTTCCCACTTGATGGCACCTGACAACAACAACAACAACACTCAGGGGACTGCAAGAGAATTAGCCCTGCCTAACTTCATCTTGGTTCCTTCTGTCCAGCAATGGGGCAGACACTCCTGAGGGACACGGCCACACCACTCACAGACTTTGCACTTGCCACTGTACCTGGTGAGGTCACACCTCAACCTTCACACCTGACAGCACCTGTGAGGAAAGATACTTGCAGCCATTGGTAAGGAGGGAATTGAGAGGCATGCACGAATATCCCTCAGAAAGGGGCTGCGCTGGGCCCACAACTGTGCCCACAGCAGAAGACAGCCGGACACTGACCAGCTGGCTCTGCTGACCTTTCTGAGCCAAGTGTCCTACTCATCCAAGGAAACCCCATATCCGTACCCAGATGTGGTAGTACAAAGCTCACGGCTGGGGAGCAGAACTGAGGAAGCCCCCACCTGCAGAGGCGAGGCAGTAGGGACAGTGGCATAGCCACTGACCCCCAGGCCCGGAGCCAGGATGGATTTACCATGAGAGTCGTTTCACCCCACTGCTGGACATTACAGGAGATTCATTTTCTTTTCAGGAGTGTTCAGGGAAATGAAGCAATGTGCATGATCTCACATCAACATGCACCATCAATTGTGATTCAATGATTGGGCTTCAGCGCAGCCAAGGGCTTTGTGGAACTCTGCCATGGCTAGAAGCGGAGGTGAGTGAGCCTTAGCCACAGGTGGCCTGGGCACAGGCTAGCTCTGAGAGGTGTAGTCCCTGGGCAGATAGACCACCTATAAAGGCCACACCCAAATCAGGGACAGCTGCTACTGTCCAACTCTGGTGGGGCTGGGACCACCGGAGCCCCAGCCCTCATCTGCTCTGGATAAGTCCTGCCTCAAGCTCAGCAGAGATTCACCCATCCTGCCTCCAGTGCTGGCAGCTCACCTACTGTCCCTGTGCAGATGGACACCAGGCAGAGCAGTCACAACATCTGTCCAAGGACTGGGACTCGAACTGACCCTGTGGCTCTCTGCCTCAGCCCTAGTGCATAGCTCACCTCTGTGTGCTATTGGGGAGAAGCCACTGGCCAGCCCTGGGCAGGTCACTACCCCTGTCAGCACCAGGCAGTGGGCTGTGTGCTGGGGTGGGGTTGCAGGAGGCATGGCTCTGAGCCCTCCCTCCTGTGGCCACAGAGGAGGGAACATGCAGGAAAGGGGCTGGGGCAATACACAGTTACACAGTTACGCAGTTACGCAGTTACGCAGTTACGCAGTTACACAGTTCTGAGTGCAGGTGTGAGCTGACCCGGGGCCAGGCATGTGGGTGCAAGTAGGGCAGGGGTGAGCCCCTCCAGTTCCACTCCTGCATGTCTCTATGACCACATGCTGAACTGGGTCTCCCATCTGGCACAGAGCGCTATGGAGTGACCTGGGCAGTCAGGCCCGATGTGGTATCTCCCAAAGTCCTTGGTCCTCCAGCAGGGTACATCAGCTTACTCAGGCCCTGAGACACTGCCTGCAGAGATTTCCCAGGCCACAGCCAAGTGTGGGGACACAACAAGTCAGCAAAAGACCCGCAGAACAGAGACCACTGCTGCATCAAACCACCATGGAGCACAGTCCTGCTCTGGTCCAGGTGGGGCACCGTGAACCGGGGTCACTGAACCTCACCGCATTGTTATTACAGGAGGAAGGGGGTAAGGAGACCCACGGGCGACCCAGCGCTCTGGAAGGCAGCAGATGGGACACACGCAGGTGTGAGTCCAGTCTCATTCCTCAGAGGTGAGGTCAAGGCCAGGTGCAGGGGCAGGCAGCCCAGAGTCCATCCTGCCTGTGTCCTGGGGATCGGATTGGGATAGACCCAGCTGGGGGCCCTGAGTCCTACCACAGCCCGAGAGGGTGGGAGAAAGTACCCAGGAGACCTGAGAGCACAAGACTAAAAAAAAAAAAAAACAGACTTAGTAAATGTTTAAATCATGCAATTATTCTTCTGATTGCTTCTAAAACCAGAACTCATTAAGAGACCTCACGGAATCTTCTTTCACTGCACCGCCTCACACGGGACACAATAAAACGTCGGTGTGTGTGTGTGTGAGGGTGGTGAATGCTTACTTCATTTTTAAGAACGAGAAGAAGCAGAAAAAGTGCTGTATCTCCCTCCACCACGCAATCGCTTCTTATAATTAGGGCCTTGGCAGCCGTCCACCTACGATGAGGGCTGTGCCAGGTCACAGAATAGTTGCCAGATTTTACTTCTTTATTCACTGGCTTATCTACATACGGATCTGAACCGGATAATCACGCCCCTGCCTTCCAGCTGCCAGGGCAACCACAGCAGAGGTGGGGTGGGGCCCTCTGAGCCTCAGAACCTTCCCTGGTGGTCTCCTCCTCCCCTTTCTCCTGCTCCCAGGCCTGCCAGGTAGCCATGGCAACAGAGCAGCTGACACGCTGGAGCACCGCACAGAGCTAGGGCCTTACAGGTGAGACAGGTTAGGGCAGGACGCACCTGTGTGCGCAGACCACACGACCAGGGACTGTCCAGCCGGGGTGGCCTGTCTGCCTCTGCTCCTGGCTCTGTCCGTGAGATCGGTGCCCGGTGGGCCTGGCACACGCTGTCAGTGTGCTCAGGGGCACGTGCCCACCTCAGCCAAGCTGGAGCTGCTGACTCCAGATGTAGACCAAGCTCAGTCAGTCAGGGGTTCCATTATGGGCTCAGAGCCCTGTGCACTGCCACTGACCAGTGGGCGAGCCTGGAGACTCACTCATCCCACAGCTGAAGGCCCCCTCCCCACAATGTCTCAGCTAGTGTACCCAGCCGTGGAGCGGTGCCAGGCTCAGCCCAGCTCTCCCATGCCCGAGTGGCCTGCCTGCTCCCTGACACTGACCTTTGGAACCCACCTCCAAGCTCCCACCACTTCTGAAAGGCTGGACCAGCAAGGACTCTAAACGCGCCCACCCACCCAAGGTCCAGGCCCAGCCACTAACATCTCTGCTCAGCGGGCAGCCCGGGGCACCTGGTTAGCACGGTAACAGGAACGAGCAGGTGAAGGGAGTGCAGGCAAGTTCAGATCTGCATTCCCACTCTTGACCAGTGAGCCCACCCTACAGCCAGAGAAACTCAACTGGTTCAGGCCCAGTCTGGGGGCTCCCCTCCAGGAGTTGGGCTCACTTGGACACTGGGCCTTGCCTCACCTGGGGGCTAGGAGCCTCCAGCCTGGGAAAGGCCGGATCTGTATTTGTAGGAGGAAGCTCCCCAGACAGCCTCAGCCTATCTGCAGCTCTGGGCTCCTGCCCTCCACACCTCCTTTGCTACCTCAGGGACAGTCCACTCCTGACCCCACAGGACAGGCTCCATGGAAGGGCTGGGAGGACATGAGAGGCTGCCCTGAGGTCAGAACCAGCAGTCCAACCTCTCCAGAACCTGACCTGTGCCAAGCCTGGAGAGCACGGATGGAGGAGGCTTCCCCACACACTAGACTCCCAGGAGGGGCAGAGCGGCTGTGGTAGCTACAGTGTCCTGAGGGGCGGGGCGGACAGTCAGTCAAGGGGCTGCAGACAGCCCTGGGGAGAGAAGGGCAGTGGCTGCCCAGCCCAGCCTAAATAGGCGCCCAGATCAGAAGGTCCCTGGAGCAGCCCCACCCTGGAAAGACACCCTACATGCCACTCCCATCCCCATCCCCATCCCCCCACCCAAAGGTGGGCTGAGGGCCAGGAGACCCCAGGGACACACATCCAAACACCCAGGAAGCCCAGGCTGCATCAGTGAGTCCTGCTTCCCCATCCCATCAGGACCCGGCTCAGCAAGGGCTCAGGGAGAGAGACCACTGCCCGAGTCCTGGTGGGGCTGCTGCGGAGACGCAGGCCAGTCCTCTGTGACACCAGACCTCAGGTGAGTGAGGAAGCACACGTCAGTATGTGTCCTGGTCTGTCAGGAACTAGAAGTCTGAAACCAGACTTGGATTCTAGAGGAAGGGGCTGTCGGGTTGGGAGAGACAGACACCAGCCAGACCTGGAAACAGAATCTCTGAGGTGGGGAACGCATGTGAAAGGTAGACCACAGACCAGTGGGCCCGCGCTCACCTTGCCAACTGGACGCTCCCACCTGTAGAGAGGACCACAGGCACCCAGAGGAGCTGGATCTGTGTGGGGAGGACTCCTGACCCCCGACAGGCTGTCCCCACTCTCCAAGGTTGGTGACCACCCTGCGGAGGGACTACTGGACACCACTTTCTGACCCACAGTTGAGAGCCACGTCTATCCACCAATCTAGCCATCTTACAGCGGGAGTGACCCAGGGAGGTAGGTCCCCAGTCTCCAGTGAGTTGCAGAGGAGGGCCCTCAGCCCAGCCTTCACACTCTCACTTGGAAATTCTGTCCCATAAGGGATGGTTTCGGGATGCAGTGTGGGGTCATCAGTCCACCCCAAGGGCCCAGCTGAGTCAGCACTACATCCCCAGTAGAGCACCCCCGCCCCAACACACACACACACACTGGTCACAGATAAAGGGTAGGAAGAACTGTGGAGGAGGTTCCTCTTTGGTGTGAGACTAGATCTCCCCCAGCCTCAGTTTCCCCAGGGATCTGCTGCACTGGTAAATAAATCATGCAAATTCACAAGCCCCCAGGGATGGGGAGGGGCTGGGGGGAGTTGGCAAGTGGGTGGTGATAACGAGTTTGCAAAATCCCACTCTGAGACAGTTTGCGCAGCCAGGGTGTGAAATCGCCTCATGTCTCCAGAAGCTGTTTCCTGTAGCCCCCTCCCCACAACATGCAGCTTCTCAGCACAGACAGCTCAGTCCCTGAGGGACCCCAGGATGAGGCCCCAAAGGCAAGCTCCTTCCCCCTTCAGTAAGCTGGGAGCGCTTGGGCTGCAAATCTGGGGTAGCTGCCCTAAAAACCTGTGCTAACCTGGGTATGTTGTCCTGTGCCTAGTGAAGGCGTAGTCAGGACAAGAACAGAGGGCAGCTCATACCATGGGCGCCCCATCAGCACAAGGCAGGGCTACCACGGAGCCCCAGGAAGGCAATGACCCCACCAAGGTTCCCAGCCAGCCAGGGCTCCACCCCAGGGGCTCCCTACAACGCCTAGTGGGAGCTGTGGAGGTCCAGGGGTCACAGATTATGCGTCCACGCTGTGTGGGCTTCAAGTCTCCAGAGCAGGTATGGTCAGGTCTCACAAACACACAAGTGTTAATACACAACTATGGTGCACAAATACATGCACACATGTAAGCACAGATATACACAGGTCACACTAACACAAGTGTTAGGTACACACCCACAGTTCACACATGCGTGTACACACATGTAAGCACAGATACACATGGGCCACACTAACACAAGTTATACACACACCCACTGTACACATATACACACTTTATATATGCACCCACAGTGCACATATATACACACACAGGGAAGCACAGATACACACAGGCCACACTAACACCCACACCCACATCACACACATGTCCACAGTGCACATATATACGCACACACATGTATGCACCAATATACACTTCCCACACCAACACACATACACACGTACACAGTGCACATATACTCCCACATATGCGCACACTTGAGCACATGTGAATGTATACACTCTACAAGCGTGCACACACTCACACATGTGTGCACATACATCATACAGATGCCCAGAAAGGACCCACTCTGCACATGTACACACTCACACGTCTGTGTGCACACATGTGTCCACAGCCCCCCGTGCCTCCATGAGCGTTCATACGGCGGCAGTGTCCTGACCTCAATCTTCAGGATGGCCTCGTCCCGCAGCCGGATGGCCTCGAGGTCGTCCTCCGTGAGCTCTGAGAGCAGCACCTGCCCCTGACTCGGCCACACGCCGTCTCCCCCGTTGAAGATCTTCTCGCTATCGGGTAGCTCAGCAAAAGAGGTCCGGGGACTCTGTGGACCAGAGACAGCCGTTAGCAGGGTGCACCAGGCTGGAAGGGGCCAAAGGTAGGGAGACTGGGGCTCCTGGCAGCCTGGCCTCCACAAGTCTGCACACACCACACTCAGGACGTCTGTGTAAAGATGTGTGTGTGTGCATTGTGTGGGAGTATGGATTATCGGTGTATCTTGTGTATCTGTGTGTTGCATATGTGTTATTGTGTCTGTGTGCATTGTGGGTGAATATGTGTCTGTGTGTGTGAATGTGTGCATTGGGTATCTGTGTGCACAGTGTAAGTATGTGTTCTGTCTGTATCTGTGTGTGTACACACGTGTCTGGGAGTGAAGACCATGTGAGTGAAAGCAGATGGGAGACAGGGGCCCCAGGGTGGAGCAGAAGGGTCTCCACCTGCCTCCTGCTTCTCAGCTTTAAAGCCCCTTTGTGTCTCAGGGTCTCTTGCCGCAGTGTCCTGTCATGTGGGTGGGGCAGTACAGCGTCCCTGACAGATAGAGACCAGGCCAGGATGCCCAGAGTCATCCTACCCCCCACAACCCATAGCCTTGTACCTTGACTCCCAGGGCCTCCCCCCAATCCCATAAATCTCCCAGGTCTCTTTCACAGGCTTGAGAGCAGAGTGTGAGGCTGTAGGCCCTCAAAGTGGGGCCATGTCTGCCATCGTCTCCAGAGGATTTGGGGCAGTGCTGGGGGCTTCACCCCTCACCCCCACCTGCTGCAGACCAGTTCCGTCGTCATTTTATCTCATTTATAAGATGGTAAGAAATATACAAGCATCTGCCTGTTCAAACAATTGTGCAAATGTGATTCAGCAACGTAGATTATGTTCATATGAGTGATTCTGTGATGCAGATTACGTTCATCACGTGATTCAGACATAGATTACATTCGTCACATGTGTGATTAGTGAAGGTGATTACATTTGTCACGTGATTCAGCAATGTAGATCACATTCATCACTTGTATTCAATGATATCATTTACGTTCATGTGAATGATTCTGTGATGTAGATTCCATTCATCACTTGTGATTCAGCAACATAGATTAATTAGGTTCATTTGTGTGGTTTACATTCATCATGTGATTCTGTGACCTAGATTACGTTCATAATGCATGATTCAGTGATGCAGATTACGTTCATCATGTGACGATTGTTCATCGGTGTGATTCAGCAACGTAGATTACAATCCTCAAGTGTGTGATTAGTGAAATAGATTACATTCATCACGTGATTCAGAGACCTAGATTACACTCCTCACGTGTGTGACTCAGTGATATTGATTACGTTTGTCACATTTTGCTTATGTTCATCAGGTGTGATTCAGTGATGTACATTTCGTTCATCATGTTATGCCAATCAATCCTCGGACGTTAACAGAGGCCCAGTGACCCCAGGCTGAGACGTCTGCCACTCTCTCTATGGTCACCACCATAAACTCGGCCTCAGCGCATTGCCCATTTCAAACAACAGGGCTTCAAAACGTTCATGGGAAATGGAATTTTTTTCTCAAACTTTCTGAAGTCCCCTCATAAATGGGATTGTACAGTCAGACCTCAGCAATGCTATGGGTTCAATTCCAATCCACTGCCATAAAAAGTCAAACGAATGTTTTTAAGTTATATGTACACTATCCTGTAGTCTAGGAAGTGTACAATAGCATTATGAAAAATGTTAGAAGTCCTTTTCAGATCCTGGTTGTGTGACTTCTCTTCTCTCCGTAGGTAGCCGTTTTGTTCTCTGAACTAAACTAAGTCTGGTTCATCCATCTTTCCCCTTCGGCGGAGCACTTTTTGCTGACCATAAAGGTTTGAAGACATCCTCCAGTGATATCTTCTGGGAACGTCGGGTCTCACCTGCCACAGGTAAGTCTCTAATCCAGCTGGAAGTGAGTTCTGTGCATGGGGTAAGGTGAAAGTTCAGCACCTCTTACTCCCAGTACGTATACTCAATGGATCCCAACTGTCTCCTTCCCATCACATGACAGTGGTGATCATGTGTGTGTGGGTGTGTGTGTCTTCGTCTGGGCTCAATTCTGTTTCTGATGGCCTATTTGTCTAACGACAATGCCACCACATTCTTTTAATTTCTGTAGCTTTATATTCTGTTCTGATACCTAGTACTGTAAATCTTCCTGGTTTGTTCTTCTTTAAAATCATCTTCAATATTTTGGATCCTGAGAAGTGACCCAACGGAATGCAGAAATCATTGGACAATCTCTTTGATATCCCAAGCGAGTAAAGTTTTACTAAAGGTAATACAGAAACAGCTGCAATCATACATTGACAGAGAACTTCCAGAGGTTCAAGTCGGATTCAGAAGAGG